GCCTACGTGTTTTTTCAGACTGTCCTCTACATCTGTACAAAATTTAATATTAATAAAAAAAATATCCGTTCAGCCGTTAGGCTAAAAACCCTAACAAACATCCATCTAAACATTCGTATTTATAATTTTAGTATGATTTTCATGGAAAAGTTGACGTTAAATAAAAGCTAGATATAAATGTCTGTCGACAACAAGTTACAGATCTAATGCAACTAATCAAAACAAGAGAGAATCGCATAATGAAAGATAATCGAGGATAACTGGTACGCCTTTGTACAGGCCTGGCTTGATTTACTTACGCATGTGAGCCTTTAACTACGTCACAAACTAATGAGGCATGCAGTGAAATGTAACTAAGAACGAATTACTAACATATTTGGTAATCGATCTATATTCTTCCTAGGTATACTTTATCTACGATTGTGTAAACAAAATTTGTTTTTCCGTATTAAACCAGTTTTAAAATACAAACAATAGTTCAATTGAAAGCAATAATAATAGTAATATTACGAGGAAACGTTTGAATTGAAATTATACAACACGACAAGTAAAATGTCTGAAAACAACAAAAGAGTGTTTTTTTAACAAACTCGATAATATAGTTTATATATCTGTATATCATTACAAAATGCATACGTAGGTGTGTAATTAACTAATATTATAAATGCAAAAGTTAAGATGGATGGATGGATGTTTGTTAGAGTTTGTAGCCTAAACGGTTGAACGGATTTCGATGAAATTGTATTTCGACGAAGAAGATGTAGAGGATAGTCTGGAAGAACACATAGGCTACTTGCATTTTTTTAGTACCGCGCGGACGGAGTCGCGGGCGAAAGTTAGTATATAAGAATGAAAATCGATAACAACCTCTTAGATCCGACAAAATTAAGAATACTTGTGTCATGCATAATATAAAACATGACTCGTGACAATCTGACCTACAAATGATAATAGGCATATTTATAAAACAAAAAGTCAGAGTTATTCTTCTGGATGTTAACATTTACGTCCGTAAATTACCGCTATATGTGATCTTGGTCGTCATTTCTGTTGTTACAAGCATTGCTTAACACGTTTACTGCCGCAGGTAAAATCATAATTATTCATCTGGTGCGGCGGCGGGCCGAAATGCACCCCAATGGTATATCCGGCACTGCTTGACAGGTCTTTCTAGACCCACCAGCACTAGGATAGATTAAATTGCTGTAACTTTGTGGAAACATAATGTTTACTTTTTATGTAATGTATTCACACAGCGAGAGGGACATAATTTTCTTCGACTGCGCCAGCTTAAGAACCGCGTCAGGCCGATATCGGCCTGTTACGCAGTGAGTGTGTTAACTACAATCATCAATTGCCTGTGTAAGTGATCGATCGGATTAAATCGATTTGTTTAATCGTTCTTGTATCGAATTATTCAACAGTTTGACCGTTAGAATTAAATTTACTCGATCTTTTCAGTTCAATTACACACTATTACTGCAGCCGAGTCATTTAATAGTTACTTAAATAGCTCAGTGTAGATTCATAGCAATAGGGCAGAGGTAGCTCATAGAATTACTGGCGTTATACCAACTTCTTAATTTTTTCGTAGTGTAAAATGACTTTTATGCCATTAATGGCAAGGTTGACATTCGTACATCAACCCTGCCTACATAGTATGTATGCTAAGCAATCTAGTTAGTAGTGCGGTAAAGCCACATTGCCGGCCGAGAGGAAATTGCAGGCTCGCTTCTTAATGGACCCTAAGTCTTCAATAAGCTTCAAAATTTATAGCTATAACATTTTATAGTATTTTCACTTTGTTGTTTATTCGGTAACAATTAAATATAAAATTATTTAATTATGTAATGTACCGGTAATTTAAAAAATAATCATTATAAAATGAAGTGTTTTTTTTACAGAACGAAGGCACTTATTTGCTCGGCTCGTTGCAAGAATGTTTTTAAATAAGCTGCGGGTACGAGGAATGTGTTAACATATTTTCCTGTTTCGATTCTTAAAATTGTTTTAACGCCAACAATGTCTAATTAAATGTTGTAATACGAAAATTCTTAAGTTTGCACTTTTTATGATAATAAATCTCGGAAGCGGTGTAGATGTATAATCAACTTGCCGGTCACTAAATTAAATTTTAAATAGAAAAAGGCTTTCATACTGGATTATATTTACAATAGTTTAGGGAAAATTAACTCATTAACAATACTATTAATTCTCTATTGGAAAAATAACATCGTATTTTTATTGCTTGTAAACATTCTTTCGCACCGTTGGGGATAAACACTTGAAGTTTACCCGTTTTTTCCTCAATGCCTTTTACATTACCAGGTATCAACAAACACGGTTGATGCAATATTTGTATTGCTTATTTAGTAAGCAGAATTCTCGTCTTTTCATCAATTCCTATTGCCTTGCCAACATTATTTTAACAACGAAATCTATAACGTAAATGATATGTGGTTCTCAATATTACTACTTTCTGTTACTTGCTAGAAAATAAATTTAAAACCAAGCAACCAACGTAGAAAGAACTTAAAACAGATCGGTTATCAACGTTTACATTTGTATGTAATCAATAGTTGTTGAAGTTTGTGTGAAATGAAGCGTAAAACCGAATTGTCGCAAGGTTGCTGTCGCCAGAGAAAGCGTGACCTCGTATTGTTACAGTCGCATAAGCATACTGGAACTAAAGCGAAACACACACGAAAATGAAGCGAAAACCCAATTCAAAGTTTGCTTCAAGTGTGATACTATTTTTTGTGTCAAAACAAACACACATGACAATCTTGTACTAATAAAAAGTCGCTTCGCTTAGATTCCGGTTCACTTTCGCAAACGTGTGTGACCGGCATTAAAGTATATGTCTTATTTCTTATTTTACTAATATTATAAATGCGATAGTTTAGATGGATGGATGTTTGTTAGAGTTTGTAGCCTAAACTGCAGAACGGATCTCGAAGAAATTTGGCACATATGTAGAGGATAGTCTGGAAGAACACATAAACTATTCACTTTTGTTTTTTTACCACGCGAACGGAGTCGTGGGCGAAAGCTAGTATCATATAAAGTACATTTTAAAAACTAAATCTAAACTCCTCTATCTAAACTAATTATTGTATATGCTTTTATAATTAAAATTATAAATAACATCATAATAAATTAGCGTAATAATAAGTGTTTAAATCATTTATGTAACCTCTATTTCAGAACTCCTATTTAATTTGTTACTGCAACATATTTGTTTTGCACAATACAATATTGCTTTTTCCCAGGCCAGTCTGAACCAATGATTGTTATCAATCTAGACAATACAATATCAAAGATGTGGCAAAACTTGTACTGTTAAATGTATCGAATTGTTTTGGTATGTTTTTTTTTTTGGATGATGATAGTAAGAGTAAAAGCGGGTTCACAACTTCGACTAAACTATCACACAATTGACGTGCGATTGTCGATTGTTTTGCAGCTAATTCAACTGATTAGTTGCACAACTAAAATTCGAGTAGTGTACCATGTAGGCTCATAGTAAATAAAGCAAGACTAAACAGTGGTGCGATAATCTAGTCAAAGGTGTGCGCCCGCTCTTAATATGCATGTTCGTGTGTTCTTTTGTGGACACCCGTGTAGACTATTCCGCTTTACCGATAACGTATGAGATATATTTGATTCGTATCTCTCGGAGTATTATAGTAAAGACTTTTTGGTGTTTTAAATTAATTTGGAATACAGCATGTAATATGTAGATATTTTGGTTTATGTGCAATAAGAAAGTTACATAATTAAACGGGTAAAAAAACACAAAACTTTATACTAAATTAAGGTTATTTAATTACCGTAAAGTGTCCTAATAAATTTAATTCTTAATTCCTTTTGCTCTGTTAAAAAAATGATTATATTTTCAATTTGCATATTAAACTGTTATTTGAAATTTATATTTTAATACTATCTTTTCATCCTAACCGTTTTAATTAGCAGTAAAAATATTATGTGGTCTTTTGCATTAAAAATTCCACGTAACACTGAAAAAAAGATTCTGGCGAAAATTCCGCCAAATAATTTAAAACGCAGAATTATCATAAAGTTGACCCAAACCTAAAATTCATTACAATAATATGTCTAATTAAATAAAGAATTGCGTTACATTGATATCTAAGTTATTGTAATCTAGAACAATTTGTACAGAGTATTTTAATAAGTACTTAAGTTTTAATTAAACTAATTGCCATCTTTCATTATATACAATTAGCTGTTCTCATGCGGCTTCATCCACATGAAATTATGAAAATTTTATTTCATTGTTTACATTTGTCAAATTATCAATAACAAATGTCAAAGTGACATGACATTACAAACCTTGGCAATCTTGCTTCCTTGATGTTGGCAGCAACTTATGGTCTCTTTCCCACATTAGGGTTTTAATCCAAAATATTTACCCTCTCAGTTTAATGGCGCGATGATATATAGCCTAAAGCGTGTCGTAAGTGTAGGGCTTTATGAAAAAAAGAATTATTCAAAAATATGCTATAATTGCTAACATCTTAGGTGACAAAGAAGTGTGTGTTTACGCTTTATTATAATAGTATAAATTCAGCTGTCCTGATCGAAATAAGTGAAAGACCACAGCCATTTTTCTATTTAGGTGAGTTAACCAAAAAACCAAACAAATGTAACCCTGTCCTTGCACGCTTCCATTTAATAATAGAGGTATCATAAAAAGTGGATAGTGGTCATACGACTATTTAATATCATAAAGACATTCGCTGGTGATATAAAAAAGTATGCGATTGACATTTCCTTACTAGGCTTGAAAACTGATCACGCGCAAATCGTGCTTGCTACGTCACTGTTCCATTAATTGTTTTGTATTACGTATAAATAATCGCTATTTCATTAACTACATAAACTTGTTTCCTTCATGAATAATATGTCAGATTAAAAGATATCTTTCGAATATTAAGTGTCTTTTAATGTGATCAATAAATACAATATGTAATACGTACTACGTGATTGTCGTTAGCGGAGTACCGGCGAAGAGTCCCCGCGGGTAGGGAGCGGGGTCCGGGTGAATGGCAGGCCAGCCCTCCGTAGCTACAATCAAACCGGACTCGTGAGCGAGGCGTTACAACGCACAGCATCGCAAGCACGCCCAGCAATTCGCACAGCTAATATAAAGCCATTTTATTTGTTACGTAGTTTTAGAAACAAGGATTGTCAAAAAATAACTCTGTAATAAAATTAAGTATTCGCATCCCTTACAGATTCTCGTAACAGACCCACACCCCAGTTTTAAAATCACTTATGTTAGTTATGTCTTGAGATAGCGCTTAGCGGTATTATTGTTTCCTAAGTTTCCCCCTACTAGAATAAGAGGTCACTGTTGAAATATTATACGGAGATTAAGCGACCAAACAACTACTCTTAAAATTCAAATTAATTGAATCGTCACCGAGGACGCTACCCGATCGTTTTGACGTTGGAATATCGTCAACGAAAAAATGCAAAATTGTTTTCCTTAAACATTTCTTAAAACTCATTAATACTTTGGTACGAAATGATATAAAACGAGTTTATTTTTATTGGCATTTTAAATGATTTGCATGAAATAAACATCTTAAAATGTTTTCGATTAGGAGATTTGTGTTTGTTACACAATGCAACAGATAACTTGTTTGTGTTTCGTGTAAAGACTCGGTAACTTAGCATGAGACTGCGTTAATACTAAAACAAGCACTGCACAAGTCACAAGAGTGTGTTTACTAAAGTTATTCTTATCTCACCTTTCCAGTAATCATCAAAACGTCAAGTTACATAAAATCTTTGCGGATTAAAACAACTTAGACGGTATTTCAAATACATTTTAAATTAAACATACGTCAGTCTTTACGGCAATTTTGGCCCGACGCGAAAATTTAGACAACACGCGGCATTATTTTGCGTCTATTTGCGAAATTCGATCTTGACCGATAAAAGAGCAGTTACACAAAAAGTAGGGAAGGGCGCCTCACTCTTTCTTCACATACGAATATTTTTACAAACATAATGATTAATTGCCTTGATGTATAAAAAATAAGTTAATGGTTACGACGTCCGCATAGCAAATTACGTTTTTTTTGTGAACATCTAGTAAATCTCTTACAGGAACACGTGAACGATGCTTTGTCAAGGTTAAAACTTCGTTTAATGTTAGAGGGAATAAAACCGGATTTACATACGAGTATAAGATTATAACTGACATCATTATTTAAAAAAATTTAATTATGCTTTTAAAGTTCGTTTCCAAAAAGAAAATAAGTACTTGTAGTGTAATTGATTTGTTTTAGCGAATGATAATGGAAATTGTTTTGTTTTTTCTCGCGATTTTTTATTGTTTTTATTCAGTTATCGTAGGATTACATTACCGAAATTTATGTATTCACCATTGTATTGTATTTGCGTGTATATTCATTGTTAGTCTATCTTTTAGCGGTCTTGCGAAGCTTGATTTCCTTATCGTCAATTTATGTACGAACGTGATTCGCAATTTATTAACGAACTTTTGCCATGGATTCAGATTGCACCCGACTTGCTGACGAGCTGGCCAAGATAATCAAATAACATGTATAGAAGAAAACAAGCTGTATACTATGCATGTAATTATAAAAAAACTTAATAGGTTTTTTTTTTAATTTCTAGATAGTCTTACTTTCCTTACACGATTTTTAAATACATAGGAGATAAATATAGCTATTATTGAACAATTAATCTTGTTTAAAAGTCAAACACATTTAGCACTAACATTTCTATGCTGTGGATATAAAATATCTAGTTTGTTGTGATGTTTTAGTAATAAATATTAAAACATTTACCTAAAATAACTTTCTTATGAATACTAATAAACACCATCTTCTAATCAATTTATATCAGGACATAAAAGCTGCGAGTTAAATCGTTTATTTATTCGATACGAGCATAAGCTTCCCCTTTGCAAAATAATATGCAAGAAGCGACTGCGGAAAACGTCGAGATAATAATACAAGAATCATGAACGCCCGATGCATCGCTGATAAAACATCAGGGTACAATTTATGACAATAGTCGGTTCCGCTTCTCAAGTCCAACACATTAAATAAGCGCAATAGATATGTTTATTTGCTTTAAACACTGCACTTCCGCTCAGATGAACAACATCAAAGAACTGTAGCTGCACTCAACCCCTAGAACTGATGTGAGGTAAACATACTTTTTAAACCTGTTTATGCAAAAACGTTGTTCAAGATATTCGAATAAGGAAAATTAAAAAATATTATAACAACTTTAACTTGTAATATCAAAAAATATATTTTATAAGTTACAAACGCGCTTTTAATTTTTATCACGTATACTTTTGAAGCAAGAAGTTAATTATTTAGTCTTTAGTAACGTGTTTTAACATTGTTATAGTTAAGAGTATGTAATCCTTGTTAGCGTTGGCTTACACGGTTGTTTTAAAAACATTTTACGTTAGAATGTTATTGTGTAAAAATACCAATGCATTCCTTCCTATATAATGAAAGTGAACCGGTGACGCGTGCATATGTTTGTTGAAGTTCAGAAAAGCACATCTGTAAGTGTTTTGTGAGAAACGTGCGAAAGTATATAAATAGATAGCATTGCAAAGTAGCGATACCTGACGCTTATTTCCGTTGAGAAATTTTATAAAATGACGTTAAGTAACGGTACCTAACATTGATAAGAAAGATTTTAAAGAGCAGGTTATTTTGTAATTGTATACAATTTAATGGAGAAATGCATTTAGTCACGTACTAACGACGACCCTATCTTTTTATTCATGTTCTATCAAGTAGTAATTAGATATTTGTTTGCACCATATATTTGCGTTGTAAAATGCGCAGTAACTATTCTTGTAATACTGCTCCCTGCTACCCAGAACGCTAGTTAACGAGCGTCAAATTCTTAATTTGAAATATAGTTATTATTAAGATCAATCTATATCTATACTTATATAATAAAGCGTAAACACACTACTGTGGAGTAGGATGTCAGCAATCACAGCATATTTTTGAATAATTTACCCCTAAACTTAAGGCTATATATTTTTACGCTATTAAATTTGGAGGATAAATAAATTTGAAATAACCTTCATGTGAGAAAGGGACTATTAACCACAAGCTGCCAACATTAAGAAAGCAAGGTTGCCATGGTTTGTCATCATGACATGTCATTTTGACATTTGCAATTGATAATTTGAAACAGGTAAACAATAAAATAAAATTTTCATAATTTTACCCGGTTGAAGTCGCACGGGAACAGCTAGTATCTTTATAAAATGTTTATGTTTTCATCTTTTGGAATGAATTTATGTTTTCTAAGAGAATAAATTTAAGAAGTCGTGAACAAACTTTACAACATAATATAACATGGTCAATAGTTAATTAAATAAACGTACGTGCTGTTGAGACATCACTGTATAAAAAAATATAAAGGTATTTTTACAAGAAATCCAAAAATCGACAATGATCCAACAATGTTGCTGGATGCTATGACTTTGTCTAAAAACTTTACGAAACGATGAATGAGCAATACAGACAAAAAATGATCATTAAAATCTTTATTGTCTGTAATTATAAGCTGAATAAACAATGACGAGGTGCGCCATCGACTCACGTAAAACAGACTTTATACATATGTACATGTATATTTATAACCATTGTTTGCCTTTAAGGGTGATCAACAGTTTCACCAGTCTTGAGGTGGCTGAACGTCGGATGGCCTTTGCCCGGATCTCTTATAAAAGTCAGTCAGTAAAAATCCCAGTCAACTAAAGCAAAACTCCAAAAAGATAACAGGCAATTCTATAATAAATAATACTTTTTGTACCACGATTCAATTAAGGTTGATTGATTTCGTGCGTTTTATATTTATTTCTAGAGGATGATGAATATAGCAAATGATCGTGTCAATTAGAGGAACCACTAATAACTGTGTTCCGTTGACGTCACCCGTAACATCAGATAAGCTGGATTAATTCTACAAATAAAAAAAAATCGTCTTAATAGCGGTGTTCTTAATTTAAATTGTCATAGAGTTTAAAAATAGAAGCGATGTAACAGATAATTATGATTAGACATATTGTATCTAGGTTTTTATAATTGTCTTTGACCGCTCACTTCTCTTTGATATTAGCGATTTCACCGCAATATTTTATCTTAAGCCTCCTTTGTGTATAACGAGGTCTAAGTATGTGACGGCCATTTGACCGTTAGTTTTTTGGCTATTTGAGGTCAATAAGACATCGATCATTTCAGTATTTGAATAACTATATTTCATTTTCATGTCAACTGTGTCACAATTTATAATTATTTAATTAAGCATTTTTTTATCACATCAAGTTGTTTACAAGATGGTTTATTATGAGGTATTAAGTAAATTAAGTGGAATAAGAGCAAGGGCGTTCAAATAATCAAATGTAGAACGATTGGATAATAGAAAAACAATATGAGTAAATAACGAATAAAAAGGACGTATAGATATCGTCTTGAATGAGGTTGTAATTAATTGTGTTTTTATTAAAGTAACTAAGTTGTGAAAAAACATGTAAATGTTAACGAGCAACATTTTACCATTTATTAGCGACGTTATGCAAATGGTATGTGTTAAATATCCATTTGGGTTGGGGTTAAATTGCCTAAAACTACTCACATATAATAGAAGACCAACGTGAGATGCACCCATCGTCTATATCAAATTCATTCGTTTAGGAACGAAAATTTGTAGTTCATACGCCGCTTCTTACTTCGTATATTTATATTATAACTGGCAACACACAGTCACGTACAATAATGTCATATTATTTTATTGTATGCACACTTTGAAATTTCCAAGAATATAGGTTTTTTTTTAAACAGTTATAGCCGTATTCAGCATGAGTATTGTTTCTTTTAACCGAATGTAATTTCCTTACATTTTGTGTGGTAGAACGTTTGTTATCCGCGTATTCTTTGTTGTTAATGGTTCTGTTTGATGACTAAATGACGGTAACGAGAAACAAAAATTCCATCATTATCGTACTTCCGTTGACAATGAGACAAACTACTGTTTTTGAAACTAAG